TACCGGCTGGTCGAGGGGGGCCGGTACCGGACACGGGCTGGTCGGTGATGGGTCCGGTACCGGACGCCGGCCGGTCCCAGGGGTGGTCGGGGTAAATCCGGGCAGATCCAGACACCGTTAACGCCGGTTGCTCTCCACAGGGCTCCTCTCGTGTCCTGGAGCCGTTGCCAGCATCCCGGTGAGTGCGGCTTCCCCCTTGTCCCTGGGAAGGACATCCCACCTGCCCTCCACGTAGCCAACCAGGTCTCCCGGTGCCAGGCAGCCCCTTCCCCAGAGCCCTGGGCCTGGGTCCAGAGCCCCAGAGCTGGAGAGCCCCAGGAGGTGCCCCACAGGGTCTCTCCCCACAGCTGAGGGCTCCCAGGAGCCAAGGTCAGCAGCACGTACTCTCTGGTTGATCCCCACCTCTTACCAGCTCGATCTGCATTTGTCCTTCGTGGGGACTTGCCACCCGTGTGTCCCACTGACGTTAAGACATCAGAAGGAGCTGCGTTTTGTAGTGCACCTGTGTCCTGACACCGCAGCCCAAGCCGTGCCAGGCAGTAGAAGCCAAGCCTCGAGCGACAAATGCCCACAGGAGCGTGAAATATAATGTGGCACTTCACAGCTCTGTGCCAGCTGCTGCTGAGCATGTGTGAGCGTGCCAGTATTCTGCAGAACCTCTCAGAAGCTGACTAGAGACCTGCTTCAAATGATGGGTCTCAGACTTTTTATGTACCTGTCTTCCCTAGCCGGCCTGCCACAAGTATGGTGTGCCTGGATGTCCGAGGAACTACAATCCGGTTTGTGGGACCGACGGAGAGACCTACTCAAACGAGTGCGTGCTCTGCCTTTCGAACAGGTAGTCACTTAATTGACATCCAAACCTTCCCTCCCCTATATGCCAGCAAATTATTCACCCTCACATCCCAATTAACCGATACATTATTGGCTTTAGATCATTCACGCTCTGTTAAACTGCAGCTTTAGCAGTGTCTCCTCAACTATCAATCCCTTGCAACAGTTTTTATCATGCTACCTGTTGACTCGAAGATCCCATCCCTTCTATCACTGTAAATGGCCTAGACCAGATTCAGTCAGCTGTGAGTGCCAATACTCGCCTTTGTAATCCTTACAGAGCAGCACCTCGGAGGGGGGTTGCCTGCCACATTCATACAGTGCCACACTGCCACTGAATATGCTGGCAGACTCTTCCACACTCTCCATCAGAAAACATGCACAATCCCACCCAAAATGCAGCTTTTACTACAAAATGTTTACATTCAAGATCCAACCTCCTGTACTTCGTTTCACAGAGAAGAGCAAGAATGCTACATGTTAGGAGAAAACACTATTTTGCCATTCAGATTGTCTAAAACTCAAGAAAAAGTTTTCCTGATATTTGAGAGAGAGTATTTTGTTCTTTAATAATTTAATCACTTTTTAACACAAATTGAAAACACAGAAAATCAGTATTTGATGAGCATTGTTACCTCCAATTACAATTGACTGGAAACCTCTGTAGAGCATCCTCTCAGTACAACCTGAGAGGAACTGCTTGTCAATTGGATTTGATGGTGAAAGGAATTTATATAAATGAAATAACAGAGTTTCTGTTTCCAGTAGATGGAAGAAGAGGGAGTAGCACAACAGCAGTGATGGGCATTTACAAAATTACAAGTAGATTTCAAGAAAGGGAATGCTGAAGGTGTTTCTGACTTTGGGGTGGAGAAAGATTAATTGTGACCAGATAATTTACGAAACTCAAATGACCAAGATAGAGGGAATGTAGGCCAAAATAAAGGAAGTGTCAAAGGTGTCAAAGGACACTTAAGAAAATAATATTTTAAAGAAAAGTGCCAAACTCTGTCAAAGTATGTTTAAAAGTATGCAGATCTGCAGAATTTGTTAATGTTTTCACCAGAGTACATCACAAACTACCCAAGCAAGTGACAAATTGCAAAGAGAATTGGTAAACCTACAGTCTGATAAAAAAAAACCACCAGGGAATCAAAGGGCACACACAGTACAATCTGTGAAAAGGGGAGAAGAGAGGTGCTGGCAAGTTGCATATTAAGAGCCTATCCATCTTTGCTGCCTAGAATGTTGTTGGAGTAAGGTATGAAGCAATTGACTTGTAGACAGCTAGAGATAAAAAAATAGAGTAAGAAAAGCTGATACAGATTTGTCAGAAATAATCCCATCAAATCAATGAGATTTAGTTGTTTGGCAAGATAACTGGTCTAGCAGAGTAGGAAGAAACAGAAGTATTGCTCCATGACATTAATAAGGCATTTGACATAGCTCCTATTGACAGTCATGTAAGCAGACAAATAGTTGTTTGGCTGAAATTGTGAAAGCATGAAGCCACAGCAGTTTGTAATGCTGTGGTTTAAAAGCAGTAATCAGTATTTCACAGTCAAATTGGAAAGAGCTATTAAGTGAGATTTCCTTTAGGTGTAGTATATAATTCAGTATTTTTGTAATAAATTGGATATTGAAAACAAAACAATAAAGTTTTGCAAAATGACCCGAGATACAATGATCTCTGCAGGACAGTATCAAAATTCCCAGGGATCTGGAGAAATGGACTGAAAGCAGTACAATAAAAGTCAAAGAGAAGTGCTAAGTCTTACACATAGAGAGTGCAAGTCCATGTCGTGGAGATAAAGGCAGGAGAGTGTCTCACGACCTAAACAGTGTGTTTGATCCTTTCTCAGAGCAGAATGATGGGCTTTGAGATCCAGCCTTACATTTCTATGTTGTTTCATTTTTTAGGCATGATCCCTCAGTGCCAGGTGGGTGCATGGCAGACTCCTGAATACAGCATTGCATGTAGCACAAAGGGTTCTCCAAGCAAACCTGCTGTTTGTTTCCACTCAGTTCCTTAAGTAGTTCATGATAGGGCTTACGTCTTGTTAGTATGAGATGTAATGTACATGTTTTGTGTAAATCATGGGATTTAATCCAGTTACATACACAAGACAGACCATCTTTTTTTGCTGGCATCTTACATGCTCAGAAACATACATTTTGGTCTAAAGGGGTACAGGGTGATCAGATACTATCCTGATTTTTTTCTTTAATATTTCAGTAGTTGGCATACTCAGTGGTTTTCTAGGTCAGTCTGGACTTGTTCTAAAGTGTTTGACTTGGCATGAACACAAAAAGGATAAAACACTTTGTCTTATTGGAAGAATTTCAGCTTTGTAAAATATAGTCATAAGCAATGGTCACTTAACTTCAAGGACTCTAAGGTACAGTCCATCACACTCCTTAGGAGCGGAGAGCAAAGAGATCTTTCTGCCCTTCTTAACAAGCTGCATGACCAGTTGTTGCTGAGATAAACAGTGTAATGTGGTGAGATGAAAACAGCTATATGGGCATACCCCATAGTGAATTACAATACAGTCAGGTCTAAGTTAACATAGATGATTCTCAGCAGCCAACTTGCAGGTCACTTCCAGCCCGTGTTTAAGTCCATTAAACGACTTTTTAAAGGCAGTTGTACCTCCCTGACGGCCAAAGTAGTACCGTCCATGGGCACTTTTAGCCATGCAAGACTGTGTGGGCACCTGGAGAGCCTCATGTGCATGAAGAGTACTGCAGGAGAGGTTGCTATGGCTGATCCACGATAACATGAGACACCTGGAGCAAAGGTGCATCACAAACCCTGCCCGTCCTGGTTCTGCAGTGCAGCTCATTAACTGTAAAACCAAAGGCGGTCTTCCTCCCTGCTATTTTTTTTTGTTTGTTTTTAACGCTTGGATCTACTCCATTCTTGTGTGGATGCTCAAATGCAAATCCCACGTCTCTTTCACTCTTAGCGTCCAGTAGCAGTGACAACAGCTGATCTTAACTGAAACCTAGTCTGGCAGCACCACAAGCTCTTTGGAAACAGATGCAGCAGCTTGAGCTGCCTCTGAAGAGTTTAGCGTAAGGACTGTCCTTCAGCCAGAACTTTTCTTTAAATCTTTACATCTGTTTTACATCCCCTGGGCTTGATTTTTCCTTTGCTATTCCTAATCCACTCCACTACCTTCTGGCTAAGAGATCCCTGTTAGAACTATTAGTACAGATTGTCCCTGCATTTGGGTAATTATAAGCCTCCAGAATTTCATGAGGAGGAAAGCAGCTTGATTCTATTAAGATAGGGAAGCAAACAGAAGATCTAGGGCAGTCTGGATTCTGTCACTTTCTTTTCGTATCTGCACTTGCTTGGTAAACTGAGATTTGTAAATGGAGTGCCCCAAAGTGCCATGTATGGGACTCCCACCAAAAAATCTAATGTTCCCAAACTAAGGGACACTTGGCTAAAATTTCCTTAAAGAAGATTCCAGTGTTCAGAGAACCACACATTCAAATTTTAGTAAAGCCTGGGATGTAGAAATACAGCAGGATGCACACTGAGATTCCATGTGAAAGGGGGGAAATTTTGTAAGCACCAGAACTTTTTCCCACTTCAGGGACCGTGAAGTTTGACTTGTGTTAGTGCATTGTAATGGACACATTAGTCCTCATGAGATTTATCATGTGGTTTGATACTTCTCAGATTTGCAGATGGCTTTATCAGATTTTTATAAGTAACAAAGCCTGAAGTGAGGCTTTCTCTGGTAAGTTACTCACTCTATGTGTGTGATTCATAAATCTTTGCATCACAGTTACTTTGCTGTAACGTTTGCCATAAGTGATGCTATGAAATACATTGCTGCTTTTAATTGAATACATAGAAAGACATGGGAAAGTCTGCTTTGCAAAATGTCTCTGTTAAATTCAAGTGTAGTGCTTCTTCTAAGATATTTTTTTTCTGCTTGCAGTGAGAATAAGAAGGATGTCCAAATTTTCAAGATGGACAGATGCTGATGTGGCAGACGGGCATTTTTCAAGAAAATGAGAGGTCCAAATGGAAGCAATGTCTGAAGTGTACCTTTTATGTAGCCTGTCAATAAATAAGCTTGCCTGTTTAAACAAAGTACCGTTACTGTATTAGAAACAGTGTTCATAAACATAGCCATAGTACACTAATGAAACAGGATAGAATCATAGAATCACAGAATGTTTTGGGTTGGAAGGGACCTTAAATATCATCTAGTTCCACCCCCCCTGCCATGGGTAGGGACGTCTCCCACTAGACCAGGTTGCTCAAAGCCCCATCCAACCTGGCCTTGAACACTTCCAGGGAGGGGGCATCCACAACTTCTCTGGGCAACCTGCTCCAGTGCCTCAACCTCCCTCATCATAGGATAAGAAAGATCATAAGGTAAGAAACATGACCTGGACTTCTTTATGTTTGTTCCCTACTGTTCTGCTCAACACCTCTGTTTTCTGCATGTTGCTTAAAATGAATTGTATTTGGGTTGTCCTGCGATGCGTTGGTAATACGCGGGTGGCTTCTACCTTTGATCCAAGCCAAGAGGAGCCAGCTCTAGCCCTGGCCCCAGACAATGGCTTTGTCAGGCTTTGCTGGGCAGCAGCAGTGCAGGCAGAGGTGTATGGCACACTTAATGCCTGATGGACATTCACAGGTCAGTGACTTTGGCTTTGAAAAACAATAATGCTTTTGTCTCATAGTTCCTTTAAATAGTCAAAACTATCCTTATCTTCCAGTACATGCCTGCTTTCATTTCCTTTATGCGAAGACTAATCATTGATGGAAGGATGTCATGTGTGGCACAACTGGAGGGCTGGAAGCTTAGGATAAAGTAGTCATGTGGAGACATGAATATGTGGGTGGAAAAGAAAAATGACCAGTGCCTCCCAACAAGGTATCAATTGTAGATGCAAAATCAGTTAATCTGTTGGTGGCAAATCCCTTTGAGAAAGTTCCTGTGTGCTCCCAGCTGTTCTTTCCACATCCAAATCTGGAAATTTTAACTTTTTCAAATCGTACCAAATGGCAAAGCAGTTGTGTGCTATGCTATGAGTTAAGAAGTGGCTGGAAACCATAAGCTGTTTCTTTTTGTATTTCTATTTTGATAACTAATTGTGCTTACAAGGGAACTTTAACAACTATAGTCTTGTTGGTTGTGGAAATGTTCCTTTAGTATTTGACAGAAGTGCGCATAGCATTGCATTTTTTTTGCAAAACTCAGAAAAAAATATCTGTTTTTGTAAACACCGCTAAATGAAGCAAATCCAAATAAAAATAGTGTGTAGGCTGACAATCACACTAGAGCACTGCTCCCAGCATATAAATGCTTAAGGTACAACCTTAGAGCTGACTTTGAATCTTCCTTTTTTTCTGCATATTTGAAAAGTGGTGAATTCAGCACTGCATGTAGTTACTCACCAAATCTGCCCCCAACATCTATACTTCATTTTCTGTACATTAAAATGGCAATTCTGAGAGGTAAATTTTGACAGCAACATTTGTGAAGAAGTGCAGATGTATGTCACAGATCCTACTTCCTTCTAATCTTACCCAAGAAGAGATACCTCTCATTCAACAGAGATCTATAGAGAAGGTGGATGGAATGGTTTGTGTGCTTGGGAATGTCTAGAACACGTTAGAGTCTTTGGAGGTGAACACCACTTCACAGAAACTTCTGCACTGGTGTCTATGAAGACCAAGGGAGAAGGATTACTATGTAGGAGCAAAAGTTTCCTTATCATGGTGAGAAATAATCTTGATGAGCATTTCATACATGTTTAAGCAGTGTTTCAACACTTCTTATAGTGTATTTTATTATGAAGTTATATCCTTGCCTTGTGCAGTGCCATCTTCTTGATGTGCTTTGCAATAATGAAAACTAAAATGCAGAAAAATAAAGGACTCTCAGTGTTGCCAACGGGATCCTTCTAGAGCTGAGTGTAGAGCATGACTTGTGTGCTTTCCCAATTTAAAAAAAAAAAACCCTAACCCAGTGTTGTACTCCATTTTGGCGTTTATGAATCTTTATGGATCAAGAAGTTGATGTCTCAGAAGTTCTGTATGGTGGACTTAATATTTGTTTTAAATCAGAATTTTGTTGTGCATGTAGGACAAAGCTAGAAAGGCCTAATCATATCATATCTTCATTCTCACTCAAAAAACATCCTTTCTCAAACTCAGAAGAAACCCAGTAATGTACTCCAGTTGGTTGTTCATGAAGATTTATAGCTTGAGAAGATGGTGAATTTCGGTATGATAGGCTTAATTTTTGTTTTAAGTTAAAAAGTTGTACATTACTTTTAGGACAATGCTGGTCTTATTCACATGAAGAGTAGGACTCACACTTCTAGGGTGGGATTCTAAGACTTCCAATGAAGCCCTAGGATAAGGCTTACTTGTACAAAGAGTTGTCCCTCTTATAATTTAATCCAAGTGCCTTCAGTGGTGCTGTTAGAGGTCCATTTTACATACAAGTGAGGGAGGAAGTTGTCTAGACGACAGAGTGCTAAATCAGCAAAATTAAGTGCAAAGAAGGAAAGACAACCAGTGGGTCTTGCATCAGTGGCTACAGTGGGTCAACACTGGTGACTTCCACATGCTCTGATTGTCCAAAATTTGGACAACAATCTAGTTGTTCCCAAAACTGTCACCCAGCTGCCTCTTTGGCTGTAGGAATGGTTTCACTGCTGGCAACTCGTCTCTGCTGCTCAGGGAAGTCACCCAGCAAGGAGGTTTTTGAAGCCAGACTGTGTTCCCATCCTTCCTATTTCTGGAGTCATTAGATTCAAGAAGTGTGTTACTTGGAGGGAAAGGTGATCAGGCAGGCTCAGAGCGTGATTAAGTACCCAGGCGCTGAGTCCATAGCCACATTGCACTGGGTTTAGCAACCCCCTCAGTCTTGCTACCCACAGCTCCTTGGAGCGGGTGGCATGAACTTTTCCACTACACCAAGGCAGAAGTATTTCTTTTCAGATTATTTTTCTTTTAAACTTTTTACGTCACTCTTCTTATTGTGATAAATGAACAGAATCATTGCAAGCAGGAGTTGCCCAGAATCTGCTTATTCTTGTAAACTTCTTTTAATTTTACTTTTATTTTTATGTATCGTACAGTTACTCACCCTTCAAGGAAACAGGTTTTCGGATGGAACTGTTCTGAAAGTATGTTGCAACTGCTGTAGCTATACTGCCCAACTCTCCTTTTGCTCTCTCCTGTTGCATTTTAAATTGTGCTTTACGCTTCTTGCTGTTCTTCAAACTGTTTAAACATACATATGCAGCTGAACCAAAGAGATGCATTTCCCTTTAACAGAGAGACTGGTGTATAGGATTGAGTCATGCCATGCCTGGCTCTGACAGGGACTGACAAAATCCCAGTCTCCTTGAAATTAAAAATTTACTAGTGCAGGATTACTTACCAGTGTTTGGTGACAACCATGTTTGATTTATCAGGTGCATTAATATCCATATGCCATTTTGATTGCTCAAAGCATTGACTGGCGTCTACTCATGACATTTATGAACTAGCTAAAATCAGTAACATAGAAGTATGTTACTGTAACCTTTAGACATCAACAAACCTTATGCCAAGCATTCTCGTTAGCTTATTACATCTGCATAAGACTAACAAGGGATTATACTAGCTGCATGGCATGATTGTGAAACAAGATATGAAAGGATCTCTTCTGTGTCTGAGCTCAGATGGCTGGATAATATTTTGTTTGATTAAGATTTTATGGTATTTTCTAGCTTCCCAGAATCAGCATAGTCTTCATCTGACTGGGAGGAGAATGTGCAGCCACCTATCTAGGTCAAACGAAGGTCAGAAGATGTCTTACTGTTTTTTTCTAGTGAAGAGTAGATATGAATGGTTTTGTTCCTGGTTGAGCTACAAGAAAAGCTTTTTAATTTATTAAATTCCTGACTCTCCCTCCTGTGAAAATATTTTTAAAAATTGTCCAGGAAACATACATAAAAAAAATGTTCCCGGGACTCCATGCACAGGGGCCCAGCAGGCACTGTGGATGTGTTTTCTGGGACAGACGGCCTCCAGCTCCCAGCTTAGTTGTGGGTAGTTTGGAAGTGCTCAGCTCCTTTGCTTCGGGTGCTCTTTTGAGGGTTTGCAGGTTATCTCAACCAGAGAATGAGGAGGAAAGCATCTCTGCTTGAATTGCTGGCAGAGTCTTTCAGGACTGGGGATCCTGAAGTTCTCTTGGGTGTGATAGAAATGTATCAAACCCACCATGCTTCCACTGAAACATTTAAGGCTCAAAAAATATTGCTAGCTGTTGAACACCCTTGTCTATTGGAGAACATCTTTCCAAAGGTGCTGGCCATTAACAGTCACCCAGGAGAGACTTCTTCGGTACCAGTGCAGTGTTAGCCCGCTCTTGTACCTAGCCGCTCTGTTTGTCCTGGGTGGCACAGAAACATGAGCAAGAGCAGAAGGGAGAGGTCTGACCGGAGAGCCATGGTCTGAAACCGGCGGGAGACAAGGCAGAACGAAGGCCCTGAACTTGCGGATTTCCCTCTTGCTCCCTAGGCGGCAGCATTTGTTTTCTTTTGACTCTTATTTTATTTTTGTGTTCTCAGTAGGGGTGTAGGAAAGACTTTTTATTAATAATTATCGTTTGTATGCATAAACGTTCTGTTAGGAGCTGCTTATTTTCATCTTTATTGTTAGTATCATTGATTACACAATCAATAGCTCATTTACTTGTCAAAGTTATCTTGTTTTTTCCAGGTCATTGAATCCAAGTATGTTTGCTGAAAGAGGGTCTACAGTACAGCTTTCTGTAAAAATTTTTATTCTGTGGGCAGATGCCTCATAGATGAACCTGTGGCATTCATTGCCATGCGTAGGACTGCATTTGGTTCTTAGCTGTACGATTTTCTAGCTGGTCACCTAGCAGTTGCTTCATTTTCTAAAGCCTGAACATTTATAGAAGCAGCATACGTTTCTGGACAAAGCATTCTTAGCTAGATAACATCAG